ATACTTATATTCATACATACATACATACACACATGCACATATACATACATACACCCACACATACACACATACATACATACATACGTAAACACCTACGCACATACCTATATACTAAAACTCCCACCCTCCCACACCCGTCATACCTCTGACTCTCCCTCAATACACCCGACGCTTCCACTCTCAATGTATCATGTCCGGTGTGCGCTTCAGTACCCGTACCCGTGCGTGTACGTGCGCGTGTACGTATACCCGCAACATCCTTCATCTCCCCTGCCACTTGCGCAGAGTGCATGTCCACATCATCACCCGCTCCCTCTATGTGCCAATTGACCAGTGGTACACCTCCTCTCTCGCCACTTCTCTGAGACGCTTGGGCGTCTGGTCTTACAGGAGACCTGTCTACCTGTTCGTCTCGGGCCGTCGGTGCGGTACTGTGGCTAGGTATGCTCGAGTGTGTGTACTGAGTGGTGTGTGTGTTGGGTGCGTGGTGGGTGTGGTGTGGTGTGTGTGCCCCTGTGTGTAGCTGCACTCCTTCTGATGCTGGTTCCTTCCCCACACCCTCACCGTGTGTGTGGGTGTGTGGGTGTGGGACTGCCAGGGGGCTTGTGTGTGTGTCATTGGTCTGGCGCACGCTTGTGTGTGTGTCCGTACCCGTGTATGTGTTTGTGTGTGTGTCCGTACCCGTGTATGTGTTTGTGTGTGTGTCCGTATCAGTGTATGTGTTTGTGTAAGCGTCTGCAGACGTATCACTGGGTGCATAACTGCCAGTGTGTGTAGACACAACCTCCTGCAGTGTTCCTTCCTCCTGCGAGAAGTTGTCGGGCGTGTGTGTTTGTGTTTGTGTGTGTGTGTGTGTGTGCTCGTATGTGTGCGTCTCCACGTGTGGCGGTGAATGTGTGCTTATGTGTGTGTGTGCATGCACAGGCACTTGTGAGTATGCGTGTGCCTGCGCCTCTTTCAGCCCCCGCCAGTGGCCCTGTCCTCTTCCCTGAATTTGGGACCCATTCTGCCCGTGATTTTGGATCTCATTCTCCCTTCTCCGATACTCTCGCGCTTCCGGTGTCTCGCCAGGTGCCTCCGGTATACTGCATAGGCCAAATTGGTTGTACTGTCCCTTAGGGCTCTCGATATCTCGTGAGGGTGTCCGTTGAGCTTCTCCCGTCTGTGTGTGTTGCAATGCTAGTCCAAGGCTCTTTCTCTCTGGTGGTGGGTGTGTGAGTTGTGTGTGTTGTGTGTGTCGTGGTTGTTGTGTATGCTGTGGTTGTTGCTTATTCAATTGCGCCGTGTCCGGACTCTTCGCATAACCTGTATGTCTCTGTTCTGGTGCAGTTTGCACCTGTCCTCTTCTCTGTGCGGTTGGGCGTGATTTGGCTTGTGGCCGTTCTTCCACCGCCAGCTGTGTGTATATATCCGCACGTGGTTGCTCACCTCCATATGCACCTATTTCCTGCCGTTTATGGACTTCTCTCTCCTCATATGCACCTATTTCCTGCCGTTTATGGACTCCTCTCTCCCCATATGCACCTATTTCCTGCCGTTCATGGACCTCTCTCTCCCCATATGCACCTGTTTCTTGCCGTCCGTGGACCGCTTCCGCCCCATATGCACATGTTTCCCCATGCGCACTCCCTCGGCCGTGCCTATCGGTGGGTGGGTGTGGTGTGTAGTCAGACGTAGACGTTTGTCTCTGCACATGTACCGAACTGTCCGAGCGATCCGCTGAAGGATGAGGCGAATATGACGATCTGATTGGCTGTTGCAAGGCCTCGTTTAACTGCACCTTGGTCTCGACGAGCTGGGCCCGGACTTCGTCCAGGTGTTCTTTAACTTCTGCGAGTTCTGATTGGGTGTAGGTTAATTTGCTGTTCAGCGAGTGGCACCTGCGTTTCAACCGCATTTTATCATCCTCCAGGGTATCGACGTGAGCTGACAAAATGGCTATCCTCTCATCGTCCTGATTTGATAGCAATGTTTTTTGTCTTCAGAACAAACATAATGACTTAACAAATGAATAAAAAATAAATAAACCAATAAACCAATAAACCAATAAACCAATAAACCAATAAACCAATAAACCAATAAATAGAAAGATAGATGAATCAAAATAAAAATGTTCACTGGGCTGAAACGGACATGCACAGCGACAGCTCAGGCGATTCCATCAGGTGAGTATCAGTTCTGGCGCATGTGTTATTACTGATATGTGATCCACGATAGCCTTTAAAAGCCCGGGGGGGGGGGGGGTTGGTGTAGTGTACAGAGCTACGGAAGTATGTGAATACCCTACTCAAAGCATATCAAGTGCGAGTAAGAGAGACGTGGATGTGGATAACAGGGGCAAACACATATACATAGTCACGAGTACGCTTATACACACACAGACATATACTCTTCAATAACGCACCCAGACACACTCTTACAATCCACAGGGTACAGCTGTGTAGGTACTCATCCCAACACATACACCCTTCTTGTTTGTGGGTTACCCTCGCCACCTACAGGTCACATTACCATACACACATACAGTGCCACACACACACACACACACACACACACACACACACACACACACACACACACACACACA